GACGGGCCAGCCGCTGACGTCGTTGGCGTCGCCGCCCGCGGCGGGAGCTGGCGCTGGCGAACGTCTTCGCGTGTGTGTGTGGAACGAGCCCGGCTTACTTATCGTGAGCTCACAGCTCGCGGCCACGCAGCCACCTTGGTCGGCGCAGGGTCCGGCTGGAGCATGGCGTGGTGGTGGTGTGGCCTGCCTCGCGGCGGATCGTTTGCCTTCCGCCATGACACAGTGTGGTCACTGGAGCTGGAGAGCTGTACCCAGTGAGAGGAGAGACACATCACGGTCCAGCGCGATCCTTGCAGCTGAAGCCCAGCCGTCCGTCATGTAGTTTTCGTGCGCAAACCGCCGTAATGCATCTGAGTCGGGTATTGCGGAGGACGGCCGTCACTTGAGGGGGGGGGGGGTCTGCTCTGGTTTGCTATGCTCTTTTTCTCTGTTAGTACAGAAAGAAGGGCAGGTCCTTACATTTAAGTTTTATCATGAGGGGCAAGTCCTCTGGTGTTTTGCTTGAAACATCAGAACTTCAGTTCTTCCTTCACGCATGGTCTCACCCATGGAATTATGAATTTCAAACCAGCAGCTGCTGCCTGCTGCTGTTCCCAACATCTGCTACGCTCCAGATCAGAAAACTCGTTCCCACTGTGGCGAACACTGGCTAGTTTGTTTTGGTTCCACAGGATGCATATTTTGGAACAAATTGTTATATTTAGGTTTGCGTGTCATCCTTTGTCCTTGGGAGTGTTTTTTTTTTCTGATGGGGTCGACGACGATGTGCGTAGCGTCGTTAAGCAAACTTTAAATGATAGGTAATGTCTTGGTTGAAATTTATCTGCTTCTGAGAGAAGTTTGGCCAGGGTTGTTTCCTCCTGGAAGAGATAATTGTGCACCCAGTCGTTCTTAAAAGGCGGTGGTGCATCTGAACAAGGTCTCTGTTTTGATTGTGTTACTTGATTTCACGGGGTACCGTGACCTTCAGCTGTGTCTCCGTGCGTAATGTGTGGTTCGTCACAGACCCACCTTGGCACAATATTGGTCCACGCGTGAATTGTGATATGGTTCGCAGCCGTATGTCCCTGTTCCTTTTCGGAAGAAACCTACGTACGGATACAATTGGTTGCCAACTCGTTGTCATTGGGGCTTTACGACGCACTCAGCTGCTGAGGCTATATGGCGTTGCCTACGTGTCACCCTGGCAGGAAGGGCGGGCACCGCGGGGAATTGAACCCCATACCTCTGGTTTCCCAGACGCGTGGTGATAAGCGCAGACGCGTTAAGCGCTACGCTACCGGTACTCTCGCCAACTCCGGCAATATCCCGATGTGAGTTTTGTTCGTTGTGTTCTCGGTGACTGTCTCCCTGGTCTGGGCCAGGGGTCACCGGGCCTCGTGTGGCGGTACTGTTGACCGCCGAGACTGATCGGTCTGTAACCTCTCTCCCCCGCAGGGTCGCCGCACGGCGCGTGAGGCCAACAGGCACTTTGGCCTGGCCCCGGGCATGCCGCACAGCCACACCAAGCCTTACGTGCGCAGCAAGGGCCGCAAGTTCGAGCGGGCGCGTGGTCGCCGCTCGTCGTGCGGCTACAAGAAGTAGGCGATCGCAGTGGACGTTCAATACATGGGATCCGAGCGACGCGCGCCGGCTTTTGTGGAGATAACGCGGAGGAGGTGGAAAGAAAGATGTGCGAGGCAGGCGGAGAACGACAGACGCACGCCGGCTTTGTGGAGAGAGGGCCGAGAAGGTGGAAAGATGTGCGAGACAGAAGGAAAAGGAGGAAGGGGGATTGAGGGGGTATTTCGAAAAATTGAGTGGGCGTGTTTGCATATGCCGTATCATACCGGCAATTACAACAGAGTGCACGGAGGATGAAGATCGGGGCGTGCAATTATGGCATAGCATCATACGCAATTCGTTGCAATTGCATGCGATTACACGCAATGCCCGGGACTGTCTGCAGTGTGCTTACAAGATGCGTCGTTCGCACAACTATAAGAGTATACTGTATTAAGGAGCATTTGGTCGTCATTGGGTAGCATGTTATCTGTTTGTTTCTCGTTTAAATTTTAACACATGATTTTTACATTTGCGGGCATTCCGACTTTACAAGGTTCTGTGTTCATAGCTATGGGGGGGACGGGGGCGGATTCGGCCTTACTGCGTGTGCCTAGCGTATGGCGGAAGGCGCGCAATATTTTAAAACCGGGGAGTTTGGAAGAAGCGACGTCCGATGTGGGGAAACCGGAAAAGTGGAATCACCACCAGCAACCACGCACGCTCGCTTGCCATTTGGAAGCTCTTGTGAGCTGGATGGGCGTGAGATGCTGCTCGGCGGACGTGGCGAAAACCAAGAGACACTGCGACTTGTACAGGTATGAGCAATGATAGTTTGAGGACGAACGATAAAGGACCCGCGTTGGGTGCAAGTGCCTAGCGCGATTGCAATACCTCAACCGGCGCATGCCTAAAGCTAGATGCCTAAACCGGCGGGTACCATGGAATCATGCACCATGCACGAAGAGGTGGCTGCTGCCACCGATCTAAACGCTGGATACCCCTGTTTAGACTGATTGGAACTGGTACAAGTCTGCATCACCCTCCGTAACGTCAGATTGAAGTCACGAATACCACATTCCGTGTGATTTGTGCGCTAGATTCGCTTGTTATAGGCGTTACTGTTACCGGTCGTCGCGAGGTGCACGTGTTATTTAGGTTTGTCAGGCAACACATCCCGTTATCCCTGCGTACGCACCCGCGGAGAAGCCGGATGGTCACCAGATACGTCAGGTACATTACGAAAGACACAACAAATCGACATTGCAGCGTCATCTCATTGCAGAAGCACTGTCGCTGGCTGATGTAAATCGCTGATCGGCGGGCATGACCCCATCCGCTGTATGACGGTGCATTGCCCATTGAAGTCCCCCGGCCGATAGCGTGATGGCCAGCATGCGGTGGCCTCGGAGAAATACTCATAAACGCGAGAAGAAAAGACGGGCACTGTGTGGATTCGATAGCACTGCGTTGGGATATTAGCCGCCTGTGCGTGAGCATTTTTCGGTGACGCCATCGGTTTGTTTTCGGGTGGTGGTCGAACGGCGTACAGCTCGGGGCAGGGTCTAAAAAGCCGACATGAAGCAGACACTTGTTCCCCGAAGCGGCTCTGTCGATCGCCTTAAAACTTTCAACAATCGATGCAGTGCAATGACGAGACGTAAAATAGCGATGTCGAGACCTGACCTGAGGTCAAACACCCCAAAAAAAGGCGAAGGAAAAATTTCGCATGCAAAACCAGACAATTCGGATCATAGAACCCTTTGCACCGATCGCTGTGAGACCCTTACCATTGGATCCGCCGTGACTTGAGGATTTTATGACCCTATGTCGGCTCAAGTCATCAAATTTCCTAAGTTCCAAACTTATTGCTTGCAAACACCTCAGTCTTCAGAACCTGCTGGATTGAGTACTTCCAAATTTTCACCACTGGATGCATCGTACCTGATTCTGCCGCTGTTGAAAATTCGATGACCGTAGGTCAGGTCTAAAGTCTCCATTTTGCGAATAACAAAATTCTCACTTGCAGGCAACTCAGTTCCCAGAACTTACCTAACCGATCGCCGCCAGATTCACCGTTGGATGCGCCATGCCCGATACTCTGTTGCAATTGAAAATTTGGTGACCCTAGGTCAGATTATAAGTCATTAAATTTCAGAACCGTTCACTGCCAAACCTTCACCATTGCATGCGCCATACCTGATCTCCACTAGCAGTTGAAAATGTGATGGCCATAGGTCCGATTAAAGTCGTCAAATTTTACAAATTCTAAAATTTCTGCTCGCAGGCAACTCATTTCTCAGAAACTACCAGTCTGATTGCTGCGAAACCTTACCATTCATTACGCCATTTACCATGATTCCCTGTTGAAGGTGCAAGTACGCCAAGTGTTATTTATAACTATGCCTTTCCCTGGCATGCTTAATCCCAAGAAAACGTGCAATCTAGTTAGTCTGGCCTTATGAAGAAGGCGGTGTCGTTTGTCACTTGAATTTCTCCTTAGCGGAGGTGTTCTAAAAGTCACGCGCTGAATTGTGCATGATGCCATCGCGGTAAAACAACAATGGCGGTGGTCCACATGATGGTGTGTGGGGAATGCCGTTCCGTCATGAATATGTACATGCCTGCTCAGCAGCCATTTTTCCGAAAATCTTAGCCTTAAAATGTTAGAATTTTCCATGATATTGAGGAAGTCGATAAGTTTCATGCGCGTGCATACCCAGTTTTTTAGGGTTGCGCACAGTGAGATGGGCTCCCATATAAAAATGGCATGCTAAGAGCCTTAACATTTACTGGCCGTAATGCGAGGATTTTCTTGGATGGGGTCGCAAACTTTTAGAGTGGGCCTACAAGGTTACGTGTCCCTCCCCCTTGGCGAAATCCTAGATCCGCCCTTGCTTCCTGGACGATGTCTGCCTCGCCGGTCTGGGCGGTGAGGGGAGCCGGCGCAACGTGGGGGGGGGGGGGGGGTGCTGAAACGCCTCGTGGTTGCAGGTCTGAGGTTGAATCCCACCACGTGCCAGTGCATAAGGCCCGAAGTAGAGTACCTCGGCTACCGGGTAGGTCAAACTGGTAGCCGCAATAGGCGAATGCTGCTCACGCAATCTTAGGGGGGAGGAATTGACGTATACGAAAGTCGGATGAATAAGGGATATGTCGGCCCAGAGATATCGCTGCTGAGGACCGGGATCAGTTCCTCAGCGTTTTTCGGTAGCCTGGAATATAGCTGTTCACGAAGCGGTCGCATGTTTTGAATATCTACAGATAGAGTAATTTGTGAGTTATGCGTACGAAGATTTCGATGTTCCGATTGCCCCGTAGCCTTACACCCCACGGCCAGCGACCGCGCCGCACTGAACCTCGGCACCAGTGACATCACCACCCCGTGCGGAGCGGGCGGAAACCCGACTTTTGTCATAGCCCATCCACGACATCCCCTGCGGCGAACAGAGCTTTGCACACGACACGCAAACGGTGCAAGATAGGAGAACAGGATTGGGGGCTGGGGCGTTCTGCTGGCGTCGTGTGTTTGTGTATGTTTTATGGCACGACATTGTGTTTGTTAACGGAAAGACATTGTGCCAGTGGCACCTTCTTAGGTAGATAGGAGCTTGTATTAAAATGGCATTAGAATTGTTACCTACGAGGCCAAAGAACACAGAAAGTGAATGCAGCTAGAAAGCAGATAAACGGTGGATGCAGATTGTATTCCAAGAACGTGCTGAAGAAATAGTCTTAGCCCATGCTTTGCTGAAGAGATTGCTGCCAAATACCCATCATTGGGTGGAACTTAGTAAAATCTGTCAAGTTGTAGGCCAGATTGTACATGATAGAAATGTGGCAATGCACAGTTCTTGCTGATGAATGGATGCATGCATCTGTATAGTATTCCCTAATGTTCATGCATTATGTCTCACTTCAGGACAAGACAAAAATAGGTAAAAGCAAGCAAAGAATACTGGCATAACTCAAGATGTTCCGGAACCGCTTGTTTGGTGGTGTGTGGAAGCCAAAGAACCCTCATTCACTGGAGCACCTGAAGTAAGACTTGCATTGTATTGCCTGTTTCAGCTAACTTTGACCTTACAGTGATAATTAAGAGGCCAGTTGGCCTGTTTATCCCAGTCTCTTCCAGCTAATGTTCAGGTAACAACAGTGTCATGTGGGGATGTAATTAGCATAGGATGTTATACATGACATCAGCCCAGTGTGAATCATGCCTAGATTTGAGCTGCCCAGTTGTGGTTGACAATACCACTGGCTACTTTGGATGGAAGAGCATTCCTACCATGTATGACCAGGTGCTGAAGAAGCTCTGGCAAGGTTGAAGGTTCCAGCTGTACTAGGCATAGTGGAACAAAACTGCCAGCTGTGGCACATCATGCTTTCACTTACCAGACCATGTTGCCATGGCCTAAACCACTGCATAATGCAAGTAGAGCTTGGCTTCCTGCAGGATTATATGTCCAGGCCCAATTATACATAAATATTGCAGCATAAATAGCATATATCCATGAAAGGGGAGTATTCAATGTCAATCAATGGAAGATAATGAAGAAAAACTTTCCATCTTCAATGTTATAACATGGCCGAATGCAAGTGGATGTCACTAGTCATGTCAAGTTTATAGTCCAACTACTTATTTAGCACTTTCACAATAGTGCTGACCAATACATGTATCATGTGCAGCATGTATATCTCAGTATGCATATTTGTGTGTTTACATCATGGGGTAGCACTCTTTCAGTGGTCACTAATCCTCAAGTCACATATTATGACACAACATATACAGGAATTGTGCATTACATGCACATGTTTTAATCATGCTTGCATGTGAATACATACAAGGTAAGTCATTCCACACAGTTCCATCAACAACCTATTCTAGTGGCCAGTCAAGAGCATGACACTTAGTGGCAGGAAGGAATGTCCGTAATATCACCCAGTGAGTTCAGTTGGGAGCTGGTTATATACTTCTGGCACCTGGGTACAGATATACCCTTTCCTCACCTCAGTCCTTGAGTGGGCACATAGCAAACTGTCCTGCCACGTGCTCCACGCTTAAACAAAGTTCTTGACTGGGAAGTTGGACCCAAGCAAGCCTGTCTCGTGCAGGAGAACCTTGTGTACTGGGCTTGGTGTGCAGTTGTCTGCTGATCACTGCGTGGTCAGCCAGCTCGGCCTCTTTGGCAGGGCAGACACATGGTGCAGAACCTTGTGCACTGGGCTTGGTGTGCAGTTGTCTGCTGATCACTGCATGGTCAGCCAGCTCGGCCTCTTTGGCAGGGCAGACACATGGTGCAGAACCTTGTGTACTGGGCTTGGTGTGCAGTCGTCTGCTGATCACTGCGTGGTCAGCCAGCTCGGCCTCTTTGGCAGGGCAGACACATGGTGCAGAACCTTGTGCACTGGGCTTGGTGTGCAGTCGTCTGCTGATCACTGTGTGGTCAGCCAGCTCGGCCTCTTTGGCAGGGCAGACACATGGTGCAGAACCTTGTGCACTGGGCTTGGTGTGCAGTCGTCTGCTGATCACTGCGTGGTCAGCCAGCTCGGCCTCTTTGGCAGGGCAGACACATGGTGCAGAACCTTGTGCACTGGGCTTGGTGTGCAGTTGTCTGCTGATCGCTGCGTGGTCAGCCAGCCCGGCCTCTTTGGCAGGGCAGACACATGGTGCAGAACCTTGTGCACTGGGCTTGGTGTGCAGTCGTCTGCTGATCACTGCGTGGTCAGCCAGCTCGGCCTCTTTGACAGGGCAGACGCATGGTGCAGAACCTTGTGTACTGGGCTTGGTGTGCAGTCGTCTGCTGATCACTGCGTGGTCTGCCAGCCCGGCCTCTTTGGCAGGGCAGACACATGGTGCAGAACCTTGTGTACTGGGCTTGGTGTGCAGTCGTCTGCTGATCACTGCGTGGTCTGCCAGCCCGGCCTCTTTGGCAGGGCAGACACATGGTGCAGAACCTTGTGTACTGGGCTTGGTGTGCAGTCGTTTGCTGATCGCTGCGTGGTCAGCCAGTCCGGCCTCTTTGGCAGGGCAGACACATGGTGCAGAACCTTGTGCACTGGGCTTGGTGTGCAGTCGTCTGCTGATCGCTGCGTGGTCAGCCAGCCCGGCCTCTTTAGCAGGGCAGACACATGGTGCAGAACCTTGTGCACTGGGCTTGGTGTGCAGTTGTCTGCTGATCACTGCGTGGTCAGCCAGCTCGGCCTCTTTGGCAGGGCAGACACATGGTGCAGAACCTTGTGCACTGGGCTTGGTGTGCAGTCGTTTGCTGATCACTGCGTGGTCAGCCAGCTCGGCCTCTTTGGCAGGGCAGACACATGGTGCAGAACCTTGTGCACTGGGCTTGGTGTGCAGTCGTCTGCTGATCACTGCGTGGTCAGCCAGCCCGGCCTCTTTGGCAGGGCAGACACATGGTGCAGAACCTTGTGCACTGGGCTTGGTGTGCAGTCGTCTGCTGATCACTGCGTGGTCAGCCAGCTCGGCCTCTTTGGCAGGGCAGACACATGGTGCAGAACCTTGTGCACTGGGCTTGGTGTGCAGTCGTTTGCTGATCGCTGCGTGGTCAGCCAGCCCGGCCTCTTTGGCAGGGCAGACACATGGTGCAGAACCTTGTGCACTGGGCTTGGTGTGCAGTCGTCTGCTGATCACTGCGTGGTCAGCCAGCTCGGCCTCTTTGGCAGGGCAGACACATGGTGCAGAACCTTGTGCACTGGGCTTGGTGTGCAGTCGTCTGCTGATCACTGCGTGGTCAGCCAGCTCGGCCTCTTTGGCAGGGCAGACACATGGTGCAGAACCTTGTGCACTGGGCTTGGTGTGCAGTCGTCTGCTGATCGCTGCGTGGTCAGCCAGCCCGGCCTCTTTGGCAGGGCAGACACATGGTGCAGAACCTTGTGCACTGGGCTTGGTGTGCAGTCGTCTGCTGATCACTGCGTGGTCAGCCAGCTCGGCCTCTTTGGCAGGGCAGACACATGGTGCAGAACCTTGTGCACTGGGCTTGGTGTGCAGTTGTCTGCTGATCGCTGCGTGGTCAGCCAGCTCGGCCTCTTTGGCAGGGCAGACACATGGTCATATTTACGACGCCCAAGGATAACCCAAACGATAAAGCTCACAATTTTGAAGATTTTGTCCATTTTTTTTTTTTTGCACTTCTACCATAAGGAAAAATCCAGTATCTGGCGTACGGGGAGACGGGAGCCGTGACGGGTATGGTGAAGACGCTATCTGGGGTGGGGTAGCGGGCGGGGAAGAGGCCGGCCAAGGGGCCTGTGCGGCAGCGACTGACGTGTGACACAGGTGCGTCGCACGACACCGTCTGTTCGAAGGTGATACCATGTGTTTTACCTCGCTGCAAGCTGCGAGGGCGCGCCGCGAAAGCTGCCCTTGAAATTTGGGAGTTAACTCGTTGGCTTTCGAAAAAGATATGCTGTGTTTTGTCACTTTGACCTGGAGCGTGGTCGTGCGGGACCGTACGTCCAGAGAACAGAGAACATTCTCCATACTGGAGATGCGCGTTGTGAGATCGCTCTTCTTTCCGGTGATGGTGGTTTCCGGAAGCACCTGAGTGTCAGCAGCGTACCGCAGCGTGCTGTACTACCTTCCGGAGAAAGCAACGACATGCCATTTATGAAGACGCTGAACAACGAGGGCCCAAATGCCGACCCTTGGGACACGCCCATGGTGTTCTGTGGTCGTGAGGTCACTGCGCCTGGCAGCGTACCACTCAAATTTTGCCCCAATAGGTTGTCGTCAGTGACGTCAAACATGTTGTAGAATCGATCAGGCGCAGCAGCGGTGATGTTTCTCCGCCCTCGGCGGCGCGAGTATGCGGTGCGTGACGGATATCAGCGAGGTTTCCGTGGCGGGCTGGGTCGGCGGCCGTGCTGGAAAGCGTGGAGGAGATGCCCATGGGGATGTACCTGCAGGGCTGCATCTGCGCTACTCGCCTCACCAATTCACGGCGGGAATGGGCGGGGTAGGGTTTGGTCCGTAGGTCACCGGGTTTTTGGATGGGGTGGATCATTCGGTGCCTGCAGGATGTAGGAAATTCGTAGGAGCTATGTATGTATACATGTACATGATAGCTTTGAAAAAGTAACGCATGCTATAAGTGGGGATCGCCAATGAACAATGAATGCAAAAAGCATTGATAAATGTTCAAATTAACTGAAGGAGCATTATCCGTTTGTGTTCATAGAAGATATGGTGGGCGTTTAGAGACATTGAGAGGGTTTAGTGAGTAAATCATCCAACAGGCTTTATAACGAATGCAAGCAGTTAATGACCATGGTGGAATGCATTGCGATCGTTTCGTTTGGCACCACCTAGGAAAGCTAGAAAGTTGTGTCAGTGTGTCAGGTACCTATCGGACAGCTTACGACCTGTACTGGATTTTCAGTTCGGTCATTACAAAGTGGCACAGTGCCCCCCCCCCCCCAAACCACACTACCATACCTAAAAAGTGAGCACACCTTGGTGCAGATCTGCGCAGCACTGGAGCTGAGAACAGTCGGATTGTCGGGGGGGGGGGGGGGGGAGGGGAAGGGGAGACGTGTGGTGAACAACCGAAGATGATGCTCATGCAGAGGCCGCTTATTGGCCTCAAATCCCGACCTCCTCCGGCACCGCCCTGCAGCCAGCGACTCGACGATTACCGATTGGCGGTGGTTAATGGCCCGGCCGGCCGGCAGGTATCTCTACAACGTGCTGCAGCGGAACCAGACGGTCTCCGAGAGCAACCGCGGTCTGCTGGTGGAGACGCTGCGCTCCATCGCCGAGATCCTGATCTGGGGCGACCAGAACGACAGCACCGTGTTCGAGTAGGTGGCCGCACGACGCCGGACGGCCGGCCGACGCGGGAATGAGGGAGGGAGGGAGGGAGGGAGGGTGAGGAAGGAAGAAAGGAAGGAGGGAAAGAAGGGAGGGAGGTCTGTCCGGTTTAGCAGCGCTGTGGGGGAGCACTGTGTGTGTCTGCACTGAGTGAGTGCATGAGATGGTCGGTGGACTTCGGTTGGAGTCAGTGGGCTGTGTTCCGGAGTCCAAGAAGGCTCTTGTCAGCTCCGGTCGGGCTGTGATTGGCAGGCTCCAGATGAAGTGAGTGGAGGCGAGGTTGACCGTATGATACACACAATGTGCTTGAAGTGAGATAAGGACGAATGGTTTGCCCCCGGGGCCGCAGCCAGGATTTCCTGTTGGGTGGGGGATTGGGGGGGGGGGGGGGGGGAGATGGAGCTTGTTGGGTTATAAGTACGCCTATTTTTAGCTGTTTATCGGGAGCCATCTATGGTAAACAACAACAAATTCTGACTACTCGCCCATCTCCTTCTTCCCCACCTTGGCTGCGTTTCTGTTGACCCCAATAACTTTAACTCATACTTTGGTGTTATTGGATGTATTTCGGTTGACCAGCCAGGTCTGGTAATGCAAAGACACTTATTTTTGCATCTACGTAGCTTTCAAAATTTTGTACCGGGCCATTATGCAGCAACGTCGATTTATCGGCTGAGGATCGAAATGTGGAAAAAGACATCATTTGCTTTCAGTGACGACATGATGTCAGCCTAGCCTCAGGCGTGGAGGCGTGATGTACGGCGGCTTTTTGGGGATTTTCAATGAGTTTCTCGCTCACTTGACAAAAACGCCTGAGAAGCACGTCAAGTTGTGCCTGCCAAAGTTGCTCCACCTTTCGTTGCTCACTCGCTGGAGCGTACTCAGCAGACGACGTGTTGTGGCCTTGACCAATTGGCTCCATGCAGAGCCATCCTTTACATGAATGGGAACACCCAGGTACATTTCAAGCTCAGAACATCGTGGGCGACAGGAAGTACAGATTGTTACAGTGGTCGCCAAGGTCAAATGGCCGAACAGCGGTCCTGGAATAGGTTCCGAATACTGTTCAATCCGTTGCGTTGTTGCTGCTGTAAACGTAACAACATAGAGGCTGGCAATAGTGACTGGATGATGCACGTGCACGCGCGTTAAGTAAGCCGGGATCTTCTGTTGTAGCTTCTTCTTGGAGAAGAACATGCTGTCGTTCTTTCTGAAGATCATGAAGCAAAAGTGTGGCAGCTACGTATGTGTCCAACTACTGCAAACCTTAAACATTCTCTTCGAGAACATCCGGAACGAAACCTCGCTCTGTGAGTCCTCGGGAACATACGGCAGCCGGAGCTCACCACATTCACTCCGAAACGAACCGTTCTGTGTTGTACCGTTGGGTGTGTTATCACTTGCTATCGTGTCCCATTTGCTGTTGGACGTTTGATGTTTGATGTCATTATGACCGCGACATTCTGTAACCACGAACGAGCCGCTGAAGTGCTCAGTTGACAAACGTCATGTTATTCGTGTTGCCTTGCTGCACTGCGGCATTTTCGTGTTTTGTCCATTGACCCATTGGGGGCGTGCTTTTCGGCAGTACCCCACCTGTTGGCCGGTCCTCTGTAGCGTCCGGTTACAATTTCAGACTACCTGCTGTCGAACAATCACGTTAACTCGATCATCGTGCACAAGTTTGACTTCTCGGACGAGGAGGTCATGGCGTACTACATATCGTTTCTGAAGACGCTGTCCCTCAAGCTCAACACCCACACTGTCCACTTCTTCTACAACGAGGTGAGCTGCTGACTGCAAGGGGTGCGGCAGTCCCGACTGCTAGAGCGTATGAACACGGAGCCGGGACGTGGAAGGGTCGTGAACGATCAGTCTCATCGTGTCCGGTGGCGGCACCGTTTGCTGGTGATCATGTCGTTGCAGCGGGTCGTGTTAGTGCATATTAGTGTCCACTAAGCGGCGAAATTGCCTATATTTCTCCTCCAGAAGACATCAGACACCGTTTCGTTCAAGGCAGATGATGACGAAAGTGGCAAAAATGTGTGTGTGTAGGGGGGGGGGAGGAATATTACAGCATTGATAAGTGAGCATCATGTACTCCTGCCGCCTCGAAAACGATGGCCCACTTTTGTGAGTGTGCTACACTGAAAGCACCCAGTACGTATGTGGAGCCGCTGACGGACCCCTCCGCTGAGGCGTTTCGTGGCGCGTGACGGACGCAGAGCGGTGGCACTGTGACGGCGCCTCGCCCCGCGCGGCGGCGTGCCGACTGTGACGGCGTCTGCTCTCGCAGCACACAAACGACTTCCCGCTGTACACGGAGGCCATCAAGTTCTTCAACCACTCCGAGACGATGGTGCGCATCGCCGTGCGGACACTCACCCTGAACGTCTACCGCGTGGAGGAGAGGTGAGCCGTGCACCAGCGGTGTTTACGCTGGCGCTGGACGTGTACCGCATGGGGCCGGGAGGGGAGGAGCCAAGCCCTGGGGAAAGTGGCGGTAGGGGTTGTTGGCTGTCGTGTCCGCAGAAGGAGGTTGTTGATTGGTTGGTGGTTGTTGTTACTTGTTTTTGATTGGCTTTTGGTTCTAGACTTGAGTGTTGCGGTCTGGTCGGGGGGCATTACGACAGGGGCGGGTGTACACCTACCCACGGCTGCGGCTAGTGCCAGTCTGTGCGGATGCAGCGCCCACGCACGGGCTTGAGGCCACGAGCTCGTCTGGAGTTGTCGAGCGATGTTCGCGTATGAGGATCTCATCAGACCGCCTTTGAGTCGAGGGGGCAACGCCCGCCCGAGGCATGGGTGTCACAGGTCAGTGCTGGCCGCTGGTGTTCACGTGAGAGCCGAACCGCTGGTGTCGCGGCCAGATTACCCGGTGACCCTCCCATGACCCGACCCGTGCGGCCACCGGAGCAGTGGCGGAGCTGTCTGGGCTTCCCCTGTGTCTCCCTTGCGTGTTGTCGCCGCCCGCCCGCCTTGCCGCCGACTCCCCTGACGCCCCTGACGCCCGCCTGCGGTAGGTCCATGCTGCGCTTCATCAGGGACATGACGGCCGTGCCCTACTTCTCCAACCTGGTCTGGTTCATCGGCAACCACGTGCTGGACCTGGACCAGTGCGTACGCAGCGACTCCAGGTGAGTCGCGCGCGGCCGCCGCGCTCTGCGCCGCTGCGCCGCGCCGACGCGAGCCGGGCCGGCAGCCGGCGGTCGCAGACGAGGGGTGCGGTGTAGGCGGCGGGAGCGGAGCGACGCTGCCGCTGGGAGGGCCGCGTGATGGCCTCTGTCATCACCGCAGGTGACGTAGCTCGTTTGGGACTCAGTGGTCGGGGTGTGGGTCGTGCTGGCGAGCTGTCGTCTGGACACGGGAGTGTTACGGAGAGGCGCCAGCGGTGTGCTGGCTGAGTTAGCATCCTACGATCGCGACGATCCCTCGCGCGTCCCGCCAGCGCCGCGCCCTCGCCAGCTGCTGCGGCACAGTGCTCTCCCGAGCCGACGCCGCCGTCGGCTGCAGCGGTGGTCCGACGGCGCCTGCCGCGGGCCGGCGCGGCGCCGCGAGTGCCCGCTCCTCCCCGTCAACGGGCATGTGGCTGACCGTGTCCCCCCTCCCCCCCCTCCTCCGGCAGTCATCAATCGCGCGGACGGCTGGCCGACTTAGTGGCGGAGCACCTGGACCACATCCACTACCTCAACGACATCCTCTGCCTCAACATCGAGGAGCTGAACCAGGTGAGGCGGTGGCCGTCCCACTGCCGCGACGGCGGCCACAGAGGCAGCCACGTTTCCCACCTCTGCGCTTGGTGGCAAGATAACATCACATTTTCGGCGGGTCTCCGAATCGCTTTTTTGAAAGTGCGAACAACTCGCCCTTTGGTGGTTTTGGACGCGCTGATTACGAATACTGTGTTATGGGAGATAATGGTGGAAGGAATCCCGCGATCTGGTTAGCATGTTTTCTCTATCCGCCAGGTGCTGACTGAGCATCTGTTGAGCCGCCTTCTGCTGCCGCTGTACGTGTTCCCGCTGGCGCACCAGGACCGCGTCACCGATCAGCAGGTGGGCCGCCAGCCGGCGCGCCAGGTTACCGGCCCGCGCCTGCCGCGGCCGGCGCGTGAGAGTGTGGTTAGGGCGGGGCACCGGCCTGCGCCTGCTGCGGGCGGCGCGGGGGCGCTCTGCACCCCCGCGGGAGTGTGGTCAGGGCAGGGCACGGAAGCCGCCGCTCAACCGGCTGGTGCTATGTGTTGACGAGCCGCAGCCAGTATCGGAGTCAGTGGTCGCTGAGCCGGCGCCGGCCTCGCCTCCCACTACACCGCCGTGTTGCGCGGCCGCGTCTGCCGCGGCCAGGCGAGCCTGGTAACGGGCCTGCCGGCGGCGTACCCCAGCGGGGCGGGCGCCCGTGATCGAGCGGCCGCCGCAGGGATGTCAGCTGAGGGACCGTGCGCCGCCCCGCGTGACCGGGCGGCCGCCGCAGGGATGTCAGCTGAGCGACCGTGCGCCGCCCCGCGTGACCGGGCGGCCGCCGCAGGGGTGTCAGCTGAGGGACCGTGCGCCGCCCCGCGTGACCGGGCGGCCGCTGCAGGGATGTCAGCTGAGCGACCGTGCGCCGCCCCGCGTGACCGGGCGGCCGCCGCAGGGATGTCAGCTGAGCGACCGTGCGCCGCCCCGCGTGACCGGGCGGCCGCCGCAGGGATGTCAGCTGAGCGACCGTGCGCCGCCCCGCGTGACCGGGCGGCCGCCGCAGGGATGTCAGCTGAGGGACCGTGCGCCGCCCCGCGTGACCGGGCGGCCGCCGCAGGGATGTCAGCTGAGGGACCGTGCGCCGCCCCGCGTGACCCGGCGGCCGTGTTTCAGCCGCGCGTCAGCACTGTGGTCTCGCTGTTCCTGCTGTCGCAAGTGTTCCTCATCTTCACGCACCAGCCGCTGGTGCGCCTGCTGGCGCGCATCATCCTCACGGCCGACCAGCACCTGCTCTGGCGATCCGCCTCCGTGAGTATTTTCCGCTCTGGCGGTCCGCCTCCGTGGAGTGCCTTTTGCTCCGTCGGTCCGCCTCCGTGAGTGTCTCCTGCTCTGGCGGTCCGCCTCCGTGAGTGTCTTCCGCTCTGGCGGTCCGCCTCCGTGAGTGCCCTCTGCTCTGGCGGTCCGCCTCCGTGGAGTGCCTTTTGCTCCGTCGGTCCGCTTCCGTGAGTGTCTTCTGCTTTGGCGATCCGCCCCTGTGAGTGCCCTCTGCTCTGGCGGTCCGCCTCCGTGGAGTGCCCTCTGCTATGGCGGTCCGCCTCCGTGGAGTGCCCTCTGCTCTGGCGGTCCGCCTCCGTGAGTGCCCTCTGCTCTGGCGGTCCGCCTCCGTGGAGTGCCTTTTGCTCCGTCGGTCCGCCTCCGTGAGTGTCTCCTGCTCTGGCGGTCCGCCTCCGTGGAGTGCCCTCTGCTCTGGCGGTCCGCCTCCGTGGAGTGCCCTCTGCTCTGGCGGTCCGCCTCCGTGAGTGCCCTCTGCTCTGGCGGTCCGCCGCCCACGCTCCCTCGTCACCGGACAGCCGCTGCCGTCCACTGACGCCCCCCTCCCCTCCCCGCAGACGGGCGCCTTCTGTCCGGGATTCGTGCCGCCACCGCAGAGTCTGGCGCAGTCGCTGGAGGCGGTGGCCACGCCGGCCGCCGAGCCGCCGCCGCCGCCGGCGCCGCCCGCCGCCTCCTCGCCACGGCCGCCAGGTATGGCGTGACGCCGGCGCGAGGGAACGCTTCTGTCGCACGCCGGCGCACCCGCTGTTGGATTGCCCGGCACCTGTAGACGTGTGTGGGCCGGCTGGAGGGAAACGCGCAGCGGCTGACGCGGGGGGGGGGGAACCGGAGGGTTGAACGCTGTGGTCCGTCTGTGCCGCCGCCGCCGCCGCCGCTGCGTGCCGTGGCGTTACTGTTCTCCGTCGCCGCACCTCGTCCGTGCCGACGCGCGCCCCGGCCGCGGGTGCTGCGCGGCAGACCGGCCTACCGACGCCGTCTGCCCTCGCCGCCAGCCGTGTACGGCCTGCCGGACCTGGCAGACTCGTGCAACTACACAGACGAGGAGAAGCGCCTGCTGAGCCGCGGCGCGCCGGCGCGCGAGACGGCCGAGGCGGCCGAGGCGCCGGCCGGCCCCCGGCCCTTCATGGCAACCATTCTGGAGTCGCTGGACTGCACGCAGAACGATTACACGGCGCTGTTCGCGCTCTGCCTCCTGTACGCCATCGGTCACAACAAAGGTGAGCGGGCTGGCGCTCTGGCGCCAGGTTGAGCGTGAACTGGCCACGTACGAGGGCTGAGCGGAACTGCAGCGACGGAGTCGGGAAGAGGGGACGCTGGATAGGGTGTATGTGGCCTGAGGATGCACGCACACGCGTGGTTTCGGCGTCTGCTGCAAACTGGAAAGACTGCGGTGGCCAACGCTGACCGGGGTCAGGAGAATGGGTTTGGATGGGCAGGCTTTGTCAGTTTTGGTGTCACACGTGTTCCGGGTGTTGGAGGTTTTCTGGGCTTGTATGGATGGGTTTCGTTATCCGTGAGTGACGTATCTCTGCAGAAGGGGCAGCTGAAGCAGGCAGCCACTCTTGCCGGCTAGCTGCCGGTGTGCCATTTATGGTGTTGATGTGTTGCTCTGACCTGGATAATCGGACACCTAGCTTTGCAATGAAAGTATTGCTTAGAAGTTAAATGCATGGACACTTGTTTCAAAATGTTTATTTATGAGCGTCATCGCCTCCAACGCCGCCAAATTTCGCGAACGACGTGCGTTTTTGGTTGGGACCGACCCCGGCCGGTGGGCGGCGCACTTCTTTGGTTGGCATAAGCAGCGGCCGGTCATGGACGTACGCCTCTGACCCCGCGCGTTGTCGGGTGCACGTCAGCTGACCGGTGCCCTTTCCCCCGGCGGCCGCAGTGGAAGGTAACCTCGGCTGGCCAGCGCCCGCCGCCGGCTGGTGCTGACCGGCCGCATGCTGACCCCGCTCTCTTGGCTCCCGCCGCCGTCACGGCCGGCCAGCGCCCGCCGCCGGCTGCTGCTGACCGGCCGCATGCTGACCCCGCTCTCTTGGCTCCCGCCGCCGTCACGGCCGGCCAGCGCTCACCGCCGGCTGGTGCTGACCGGCCGCATGCTGACCCCGCTCTCTTGGCTCCCGCCGCCGTCACGGCCGGCCAGCGCCCGCCGCCGGCTGGTGCTGACCGGCCGCATGCTGACCCCGCTCTCTGGGCTTCCGCCGCCGGCTGGTGCTGACCGGCCGCATGCTGACCCCGCTCTCTGGGCTTCCGCCGCCGCCACGCGCTCGTCTGTCACGCATGCGACCCTGTTGTCTGTTCAGCAAGGGCGGCTTTTTGTCCAGCTTCTTGCTGTCTGCGTTTGTGGTTAGCGTCATCGCGGTGGTGTTTTATTCCTGGTCTGGATGGTTAAAAGAGCTCTTATTTGCGCTTCCATGGGAGTGGTCGTCTGCCTTTTCTTCAGTCTCAGCAGTTTGTATTGGCTTGCGTTCAGGCATGCTTATTAATGACTTTTGCGACACAGGCGAAGCCCTCAGCTTCTTCAGTCTTCTTCAGAATCTGTGAGATAAGGCTTATGTGAATAACCCAGTATATATGACACACGGTCTTACATATAGTTCAAGATGAATAGTCGCTGAGTTTCTTTTCTATTCTGTCATCTCTACACGGTGTCTGTCCGGCGCGTGCGCACCGGGCGTCTGCGCGCACATCTGTACACGCTGACTGTCAGGGCGCCCGCCAAGCCGTATGTTCTGCAGCGGAGGTGCCGCTGCCGCTCACCCTCGCCGTACTCCCTTGGCCGCGTCTGTCGGAGCGCGTCCGCACCGTGCAGGGCTTGGTGCTGGCACCGCCGCGCCGCAGCGCCGTAGCAAAGCATGGGTCTACTCTTGGCTGCATGTGTTTCGTAGCTGCCTGAATGCTGCAGTTGCAGGCACGCTCCTTCTCGTGACTGTACCCTTCGGGACTGTCGTGAATGTCGTTGTAACTGGGATGGTCTCTGGTCAGGCTTTCGTGGTGGAAAGAAAGACAAACCGTATTGTGAGCGTGCCGCTTGTCAGATTTCCCAGGATAGAAATTCATTCAAAACGTTCTTTCACATTTGCTTTCACCAGTGTTTCTGGACAGATTAGCGTGACGTAAATAGATGCAGACTCGCCCTTTTCGTAAACGGACGAAGTAATCACCGTTCTAAGCTAGGAATGTAGTGTGCGCTGGCTGATACCTTAACCTTCTTCATCCAATCGTGGATATATAATGGCAGACATGTTAACCACTATTGTCGATCTGGTATAAACAAAGCTTACCGCCGATTACCTTCGTCCAAATGCCTCGAGAGAACGATCCTGAGTTGAGAAGCGTTCTCTGCTCGTGCCCATTGCCTATTACCTTAAGTCGATACGCGGGGCATTCTACTCTCCGTATCCTTTTGTGTCGATTATTGTTACCGCTGTGATTGTCTTCGTCTTTGCGTTATATTTCATTAGCTCGTCTCATGTAAGTGTCTCCATGCGCGCGATCACGGTCATCCGTGTATTATGATCCGTTGAGTGTCCTCTAGAATGGACAGTTCTCCATTGCCTGCCATCATTTGCCTGTCACCCCCATGGCGCTTCCTCGCGTCTTTTCCGAACTGATTCCCCAACATCCGCCTGCTTTATATAGACGTTTTCTGCCAGCTCTCCCTCATCCGCCTGTCCCTCACCCCGCTACCTCTGATGCCCCGTGACGCCGCCCGTCCCCCACCTCGCCACCTCTGGTGTCCCGTGCCGCCGCCTGTCCCCCACCTCGTCACCTCTGGTGTCCCGTGCCGCTGTCTCCGTGCCGCCCGTGACGCCGCCTGTCCCCCACCTCGCCACCTCTGGTGTCCCGTGCCGCCGCCTGTCCCTCGCCTCGCCACCTCTGGTGTCCCGTGCCGTTGTATCCGTGTCGCCCGTGACGCTGCCTGTCCCCCACCTCGCCACCTCGGGTGTCCCGTACCGCTGTCTCCGTGCCGCCCGTGACGTGGCGCTCCGCCGCGCGTCCTCCGTCGGCAGGCATCAACAGCGAGCTGTTGGACACGGTGCTGCTGCCATGCGGCGACCGGGCGCGCGCCACCTACAACAGTCAACTGGCGGAGCGCGTCATCGGCATCATCGCCGCCAGCTGTCTGCCCAGTGAGTGACGAGCCGAAGGCGGCCGAGCTGCGCGGTCAGGCCAGCTGTCTGTGCAGTCTGCGGCTGCCCAGGGCCCGCTGACCTGCTGACCAGCTGCCAGTTGTCAGCTGGTCAGCAGCCTCAGGAGCGTGGCCTGGGGCGGTGATGTCCCCGCCGGTCGTCCGTGCTTTGCTGGAGACGATGCTTGAGTTAGGTAAAAATCCTGCAGCGTCCCCAGCAGAGTTAGGTGTCGTCTTGAACTCATGGAATATACAAAACTGGTTTATAAACCACAGGATCCGGCAAAAAAACGCTGCATAAATGCAAGGCGTTCTTATGGGATAAGGTGATTTCCGCGCAAAAATCCTCGTCAACCGTAGTTTAGCTTGCTTCCCTGGAGCAGCCGAAACACCATACCATTCATTGTGCTGGTAAGCATGTGGCAATTTCATTGCAAGCACGCACATCCTGGACCGTACGCTGCGAGACCGCAGGGGGTGTCCCAAGTGTGGCGTTGCCCTGGCCGGGTGGCCATCTCAGTGGCCGCCGCTGACGGGGGCGCCGCCCGCCGCCAGACTCGTGCGTGCGCCTGGTGACGCTGGAACTGGCGCTGGTGGTGCTGCGCCAGCTGGTGCTGACGGCCGGCGGCAGCGTGCTGAGCGACGCCGACCTGGCGCGCGTGGAGGGCGCCCGCGAGCAGGCCACGCTCACACTGCGCAACTTCTACAAGGTGGGACCACGCTCACGTGCTGACGAGGTGCCGCGACACGTGCCGATCAGCCGGACAGTGCGGGTTCTGGGGCAGCACTGCCCTGACGGGTCTTCGGCAGGGCGAGGACCGAGGGGCAACGCCGCGCGCGGCTCTGGGGCCGTGGCGTGGTACACGGCCGATGTGGGACGCGCCGCCCCGCTGGTGGCCGGCCGAAAACGGCGACACTTATCCGAACTTGGCGACACAGCTGCTCAAAGTCTGCCACCGGCGCATGTCTCTCGACAGATGTCGCTAGATGGCTATAGACCCGTGAGGTTTGTAACGTTCTGTCAAGACCATGATTCGCACTCCCTTGAAGAACCTGTCCCCTTCTTTGCAGGTGAAATGGTATTGTTCTATGGGACGGAACGTGGGAAGTTTTACAGTATTATGTGATCATGGCGTTATAACTTAATCCTCCTCAGTCTTTTCCGGTGCACAAACGTCTGACCAGCATTGTATCGCCATGGTAGCACCGCTGTGAACTGAATCGCGTAACACGCGCGCAGCGGATATCAGACGATTGTAGGCGCCGTCGTCGCCGCTGGTCACGGCCGGGACCGGTCGCCGGGATCGACATCACCGTGAACCCCCGTCCCCGCAGAGTGAGGAGATCTTCCTGGACATCTTCGAGGACGAGTACCGCGAGATGCTGAAGCGGCCCATCAACGTCGAGTATCTGATGATGGACGAGCGGCTGCTGCTGCCGCCGGCCGGCACGCCCATGTCTGGCGTCGAGTTCAGCCGCCGTCTGCCCTGCGGCGAGGTGCGCCACCCACTGCCGGGCCGACCGGCTGCGCGGGCTGGGGTGGGCGGGCGACGCAGACTGCAGGCGCTGGGAGACTCACGTACTGGTCAGGTTCAGGGGTCGGGTGAGGTGTGGGACGTGCACAGCTGGGGAGGCGTGAGGGAGGGAGGAGGCGGGTGTGTTTGAGAGGCCTGGAGTGGTCACCACCCCGTGTCGAACTGTGCCCACTGACGCGCTCCGCGGCCTGTCCCAAGTAAGCTCCTTGCCCGCCCTCCCTCTGGCCACACGCCTTACGTCTGACGGCATGTCCTGCTGGGCGGCCAGGTGGAGCGAGCCCGCTGCGCCATCCGCGTGTTCTTCCTGCTGCGCGACACGAGCCTGGCGCTGCGCGACGAGCCGGAGACGCAGCTGCCGCTGTCGCGGCCCGACCAGTTCATCGGCGTCGACGAGACGCTCGACCTCAACAACAGCGACCTGATCGCCTGCACGGTGAGCGGCCGCGACACGGCGCGCAGCCGCCGCTTCCTGGTCATCGACGTGCTACAGCTGCTGCTGGTGGACCCGGACCCGCGCCGGCTCGGCTGGGGCCTGGCCAAGTTCGCCGGCGCGCTACAGGACGTCGAGGTGACCGGCGACAAGGAGGACTCGCGCGTGCTGCACATCACCGTGCACGGTCCGGCGGCGGCCGGCGCCGCCGGTGCCGCGCCCCTCCTCAGCGCGCGGTTCGTCTTCGACGATCATATCCGCTGCATGGCCGCCAAGCAGAAGCTGGTGCGCGGCCGGCAGAAGGCGCGCCAGCGCAAGATGCACGCCATCGGTCGGCTGCTGGAGCTGCCCGGCCACATGCACCCGTGCCCGTCGCCGCCGCCCGGCGCGCTCAGTCGGCTGCGCGCCGAGCCGACGCGCCGGCCGGCCGAGCGCTGCCGGCCGGGCGGCGCGGCGCCGGCGCCGCGGCCGCTGCTGGCGGCGCCGCCGGCCGCGCGCGCGCGCCGCGAGCCCGCCCCGGCGGCGGCGGCGCCGGCGGCGGCGCCGGTGCCGCCGGTACCGCCGATGGCCGCCGGCGAGGACATCGCGCTGGAGAGTATCGACAAGTCGTCGGCGGCGCTGGCCGTCGACGAGACGGAGACATCGTTCTCGGCGGCGTCTGCGCGCGTGCCGGCCTCGGCCAGCAGCGACCTGTTCAGCGACGCGCGGCACCTGCCGTCGGCGGCCGACGCCGCGCCGTCGAAGCAGAGCGTCGCGCCGGCGCTGGCCCCGGCGGCGGGACGCCACCTGTCCAGAGAGGGCGGCAGCAAGAGCGCGCCCGACCTGCCCGACCGCGCTCGACAGACCGACCAATGAGGGCCGCGATAGGCGGCCGACGTCAGCGCGGTGGGCGAAGCCAACACCGTGGCGCCAGTCAAACCGACCGACGGGAGGAGTCGGGAGTGCGGTCGGTCGGTCGGAGAAGGCGGAGACTGTTGTGTCAGCAATGATTTAGAGGTCTGAGAGCTCTAACGAGCTCTAGAGGTAGCTCGGATTTAGATGCTGGCAGGCGCGAAGTAAGAGAGTCGACTGCGGCCCTCACACTTCCACTGAGTAATGTATTTATTTTTACAACAAAGGTTATCAACTACGGTGTTGTGTACTGTGATTATGGAATACGAGACTGAATTGTTCTCGGTTGTGAATTCCTCGTCATGTCGTCGCGAGCTGGGTGATGAGCTGGGTATCGGCCAGCGAGCGGCCGCTGGTGTCCGGAGCTTCCTGTGTCTGCGGCGCTGACGGTGAGGGGCCGTTCGGACGTGGTCGTGGCGTCTGGGAACGGGCCCGGTGCAGCCGCTGGGCTGTACACCCCAGTCTGGGGATCGCAGCTCTGTACCGTGGCGGCAAGCCGCGCCTGGTCTGTGGGTTTGCACTGTCACGTCACACGGCTGTCTGTGGGTCTGTGCTGTGGCACCAGACGGCGGTCTGTGGGTCTGCTGTAGCACCAGACGGCGGTCTGTGGGTCTGCACTGTAACACCAGACGGCGGTCTGTGGGTCTGTACTGTGACACCAGACGGCGGTCTGTGGGTCTGTACTGTGACACCAGACGGCGGTCTGTGGGTCTGTACTGTGACACCAGACGGCGGTCTGTGGGTCTGTACTGTGACACCAGACGGCGGTCTGTGGGTCTGTACTGTGACACCAGACGGCGGTCTGTGGGTCTGCACTGTGACACCAGACGGCGGTCTGTGGGTCTGTACTGTGACACCAGACGGCGGTCTGTGGGTCTGCACTGTGACACCAGACGGCGGTCTGTGGGTCTGTACTGTGACACCAGACGGCGGTCTTTGGGTCTGTACTGTGACACCAGACGGCGGCTGGACCTGGTCTGTGGTACTGGACTTCCGGCAGCGGCTGGGGTCCAGCTCTTCCCAGGGTGGGTCGAGACAGCAGAGGGTGCGCCCCAGAGGGGATCGAGACAGCGGAGGGTGTAGCGACAGGCCCCGGCGGCTCTCGTCCGGTCCTGAGCGGGGTATGGTTCGCCTGGCGGACACGTGGCGGCGCTACTGTTGACACGGCTGTCTCCAGTGCGATCGGTATCTCGACGGTGCGCTCCTGTCTGGAGGCGTGGTGGATTTTTGAATGAAGTGACATAGTTGCGATATGCTGCGGCATAGTCAGTATTTTCGATACTCAATCGTGATCGGTAATACATGGTAATACCACTGAGAGCTTTTCAGCTTCGCTGGGGAGGAGTTGGCCGTGGAAGAGCGAGGCTTTTCCTGTGTGCAGTGAAAACAGCAAGGAATACAATGGCAAACGTTTCGCAGTGTGTACGGCACGGACTTCTTTCTGACAGCATGACTGACCTGACCGGCTCATCGCACACAGCTGGTTGTGGGAGCTGAGGTTACGTTCGATGACGAGGTGTGCTCGAGATGAGGTGACAATACTACGTGTTGCGTGGCATTGTGCGGGCGCGCCCGGTTCAGGGCCCGTGCAGCTGTTGTAGGTGGGTTTGCAAACACTTTCGGCTCTTGTCGTCAGGAGACAACAGCTCCCTTTGCAGATAAGCGTGCTCACCCCTAAGGCCTCTACCAATGGCCCGCGCTTTCATCTGTACCGAGCAGTTCAGTGCTCTTCGTAAGATTACAGCCTCTGACAGGAGAGCGGAGTGTAACGTCAGGCCTTGTCACCGGTCTTCTGGAAACCGTGCCTTCCTCGTCCGCCCAGTGTTGCGTTGCCTTCGGCACGGCCTGGCCGTCAGGTGGTGTTCGGGATTTGTTTGCTCGACAACTATCCACGAAATGGCTTTTCAGGTTTCGGCTCGTTACAGCGTTCGCTAGCTTCGGGTCGTTACATCACTCAATCACAGGCAACACATTACAAAAACACATTACAACACATAACAATATATATATATATATATATATATATATATATATATATATATATATATATGTGTGTGTGTGTGTGTGTGTGTGTGTGTGTGTGTGTGTGTGTGTGTGTGTGTGTGTGTGTTTCATGTATGTATGGAACAGACAATGCTACGAGATATACTATGAAATACGATGCTATGAACCAGGTTATAGGATATGATGATATAAAATACGATATGATAAACTACGATATGGTCACACGAGTAACCAGCATGGGTTTAGAACTAGGGGACAAGACCTAAAGATTTGTCTTTTGAATACGGGTTGTTAATCCCTTAAAGAGCTGAAGGCATGGTAGTAATCGAAGGCGGATTTTTCCCAGCTGCCGCGGCACGATATGGAAAGGCTCGCTTGGTGACTTCCAACCGGCACCTGGGCAGGTGGGGAGACATTGACGTGGAGGGGCGCGTCTCCTCGGTGGCAGAGAGGAACGTAGCTTAAACGTAGTAAAAAGAGATCGAACAGGCACGGAGGATTCTTTACATTTTAGGGCTTTGAGTACTGTCAGCACGTCCCTCTTTTTCACCAGATCACCAACCCGGAGTCGGTTTTGTCCTACGGCCCAGTACGGCTCGGCGCCGGAGGACGCTGCGCTGTGAGCCTATGACGGTCCTTTGGCGCGACCTTTTCGTCAGATGGTACGGCTCGGCGCCAGAGGACGCTGCGCTGTGAGTGTATGGCGTCCTTTGGCACGACCTGGCCGTCAGATGGCACGGCTCGGCGTCTGAGGACGCTACGCTGAGGGTCTGTGGCGGTCTGCCCGGTCTTCTCGGCTGCGACAGCCGGCTAGACAGGCACGACTGTCCAGCCGCACGACCGGTTTGTCGCCGCTGCCGCCGCGACTGGTTGTGCGACTTCCCGCATCCGAGAGCCTCTCTTCGCTGATTGTGCCACGCCGGTGACGTAATATGGCGCCACTCCGCGCCATCCAGCCTGCTGCCCGCGCTCGTGGGCGGACCGTGTGTGGTGTCGTGCAAACTGGACCCTTGATCCACCTCCCCGCCAAGCAGGAGTTCCGCCATCTCCGCGATGGTCGCGGATGTGTCGCTACCCACCCTGAATAGCGGTTTTACGTGGCGTCTTTGTTTCCCAGTTCCGTGCACTGTCGTCTCCCTTGGGCAAGATCCTCTCGATGCAGGTCTGGTTGCACATCCATTTTTCGTTTGTTGCACTCATGAACACCGATGGTTTGCTTAACGGGAGTGTCACACATTTGAATGGGGTTTTGAACCGAAAAAGACATTTTGAAGATTATTCGGTGCGGTTCACGGCACAGCCCTTCCTAAGACTTACAATCCTCTAGTTTCTAAGCTACACGCCTACAAAGCTGTGCATACTATTTTAAGGTCATTTATACGCACATGACGCCATAGGAACGTCATTCAAATCCTGTGACCCCATGAGCTATACGGCGTTTAAAGGGAAGATTCGACCTGTTTTAAATTTTTCGCTTATCATCGGACCAGACGCGTCTGATTCGCTCAATAATGCCAGTTTTCTCGAAACCTTTCCGAAAAGCTCAAAATTTCTATTTGAAATGGCCGACCCCGCGAGAGACAGCTTATATGATTCCCTGCTCACCTCTAGGAAAGTGATGCATCTCATTTGCTTTGCTTTTTCAAAGTGTGTATTTTGTAACGTTTGCCACACCATAATGTGTCAAAATATTTGTGTAATATATGCTTTGAAATCTTGAAACACTCCGTCCAGACAAAAAGGTGAACATGAAGCTATTGTCCCACGAATTCGACGAAACTTTTTGCTCTGGTTTTGGTTAGTCACTTTAGACGGTTGGCTCAGTGGCTCCTTTCGAGGTGCACTTTGGCGTTGGGAATTGGAGTACCACATGACCCACGTGGCGTACTGATTCGAACTTCAGCCAATGCCCTCCTCGGTTACCGACCCTTTCCCGCTGGGCCAATCACAAACGCTCCTTTTGGCACAGTGGAGGTACGCACGGTGGTCGTCATCAGGGGCGGATCCAGGATTTCGTCAACGGGGTCACGCAACATTGTGGGCCCCCTAGCGTTTGGGGCCCCTCCAACAATATTCTTGTACTCCGGCCATTAGACTTTAAGAAAATTAGTACAATATATATATATATATATATATATATATAACTCAATAGATGCGGGAGCCCATCTTACTGTGCGCGGCCCTATGAAGCTGGGCGTGCTACGCGTGCTCACACATGAAGCTCATTGATTTTCTACAGAACATGTTAAATCCTTTTATTTTGAGGCTGTGTTTTGGAAAAACAAACAACATCAACTCAAGCTGGCTGTCAAATACCATCACAACCAAGCACGGACTTCATTCCTAGTAAACTTACAGCCAGCCGACTGGGCGATGTAATCAGCTGGTGTGGCTGACGACAAATCGAGAATTCTTCTTTGTTATCAAGTGGTACAAAATGTCCTAGCATTCAAAATATGTTAAGCACGTGATACACAAGTATCATAAGTGTCACACACTCAATAGCCAAGAAAAATGACACACAACGCTGGCGGCACGTAGAATTACGTTTGACAATCGCGCGTAAAAATTCATCGTCACATGTCTCACTGCTGCTCTTAGGCTCAGGCGCCAATCCCAATAGGAACGGAACCTGAGCAATCATGGGTGCCGCAGGAGGCCAGCAAAGAGGCTTCCGTCAACAAGTATGTGATCCTCAGAGCAAACAAAACGAATCCAAGACTATGAATTAATACCCCTGCGCGATCAAGAGTGCCTGGCCAGGTTAACAGAAAGAGTCTCGATCGGAGTGAAGAGTCCTCCGCAAATGAGATGAAAGAGAAAGAGCCCTCGATCAGCGTAAAGGGCCCCCGAGCATCGACTGTCTCGGTGCCTTACCTTATCTGAGTTCCCAGCAACAACACAAGACTCTCCAAGCAAGTGGAAAGAACCTGACACTAATATGAGGGACCCATGAGCCAGTGAGTGCACCCTGGCTTATGGCACCCCGAAAAAAGCGAATAGAGCCTTTTGGGCGAATGAGAAGAATTCGTTGGGGAAAACTTGATCGATCAAGAGCCTCCAGGCATGGAAGTAGATAGCGTGCCAACAGCAGAGTTGGACCCTACGAGAAAATGCAGAGGTCAAGGGCGGCATGGAAAACTCATTAGCGGTCAGATTGCCCCGGCAAGTGGACATATCGGGCCAGGCAACAGCGTAATGAGTCTGGACAGCTTAATGAACCTCAAATTTCTCCAAAGCAACGCCTTAATCAGCGAAGAATTAGTTTTGTCTGCTTTTACATTCGATTTTAGCTAGCATCCGTTTTTGGTCGTCTGTGGTCCAAAGGGGTCCAGTTTTGTGGTGTTTTCGTTTTGTTAGAAAAATGCTTCCGTTCGGTCGGTTACAGGCCCCTTCGGAGCCTAAAGGTCCTTCCGGCATGATCCATTGGGGCGTGGTCCCATGTCTTCCCCCCCCCCCCCTCTGTATCCGCTAAATGCTCGAGCAGCTTAATAGATGAGGCCCGCCAAGAACACAGCGTCATCCATTCGAATACGAAATACTCAGACACTGCGTGGAGGGCCCCGGAATGATCGAGCGTGTCCCAGCAGGTTAACAGATGGAGCGCCCGACTAGAGCGCAGGGCCCTCCATCTAAGTAATAAATACTCCCAACACGATGTGGAGGACCTTCGAACGATTGAGTATGCCCGAGCAGGTTAACACATAGAGCTCCCAACAAGAGTGTAGGGCCCTCCGTTCAAATAAGAAGTACCCAAAACCCAGTTCAGAGCGCCCCGAAGGATGGAGTGTACCCCAGAGGATTATCAGATGGCCCCTGACAGGAGTGTATGGCCCTAACTTCGAACACCAAGACCCAATATACTGGGTCCCGGAACAATCCAGTGTAGCCGCGGAGGCGAACAGATGGTCCCAACAAGTGTGGGGCCTTCCAGTCAAATAGAAAGCACCTAAGACACAATGTGGGGGGCCTTCGAACAGTCGAGCATGTCCGAACAGGTTAACAGATGGGGCCTCCGGCAAGAGCGTAGGGCCTTCCGTTCAAATATAAAATACCCACGGCCCGCGAATGGTCGAGCGTGCCAGAGCGGGTTAACAGACAGGGCTCCCACGAGAGCGCAGGGCTCTCCACTCAAATAAGAGTATACAGGACACTATGCAGAGGTCCCCCAACGATCGAATGTGCTCGAGCAGCTAATCGGAAGGAACCCAGGTAGGAGCGTAGGGCCCTCCATTCAATTAGGAAGCATCCGAAACCCATTGCGGAGGGTCCCCGAAAGATGGAATGTACCCGAGCGGCAGCGCGGCAGCGGCAGCAGAGCAGTGTACATATAAGATGGCCCCGATAGGAGCATAGGACCCTAAATTCAAACACCAAGACCCAATGCACAGGGCCCCCGAACAATCTAATCTGCCCGAACAGGTGAATAGAGGGTCCCCGACAAGGGCCCCATTCGAATAGGGCGTACCCAATACCAAATGGGGAGGGTACGATCAAATGTGCTCGAGCAGGTTATCATATAGGCCCCCCGACAAGAGCGTAGCCCCCCCCCCCATTCAAATAAGAAGTACCCACCAATGTGGAGGGCCCCTAAAAATCGAGTGTACCCGAGCAGGCCATCAGGTGGTTCCCGACAAGAGCGTAGGGCCCTACATTAAAAAAAACCAATGTGCAAGGCCGCCGAGCAATGAAGTATCCCGAGCAGGTTTACAAATGGAACCCCGAAAAGTGTGTAGGGCCTTTATTCAAATAGGAAATACCCAGCACCCAATCTGTGGACCCCGAACGACCGAGTGTGCCCAAGCAGATGAACACATGGCCCCCAATAAGAGCGTAAGGCCCTAAGCAAGTGACGGAGAATTGGAGGCGCCCTAGACCAATGTAGGGGGCCCATGAGCATATCGCGAGTGTGTCGGTAGGTTAACCGAAACCAACGTGAAGTGTCCCTGGGCGACCTAGAATACCATGCCAGGTTAGCAAATGGGGCCCCGGCAATAGCCCACAGAGCCTTTCTGGCGAATGGAAAGAAGCCGTAGAAGACCCATGATTGACACGAGCGCCCCGGCACGCTAGCAGGAAGGTTCCAGCAACAGCGCAGGTCCCCCTAAGCCAATGCAAAGAAATAAAGGGCAACGTGAAAGGCTCCTTTACGATCGGCATGACCCTACAAGTGGGCATGCAGTTCTCCAGACCCTGCATAGGGTCCCTGGACAGCGTAAAAGGTTTTTTTGTCTTCTTGTAGGCCATCCACTTTCGCCTGCAACTGTTCTTGGTCGCCTTAAAATCCAAAGGGGCCCAATTTTGTTGCGTTTGCGTTGAAAAAAATTGCAACTGTTCGGCCGGCTATGGGCTTCTTCGGGCCCCAAGAGGGGCCATGGGCCCGTACCCCCCCCCCCCCCTCCTCTCTGGATCGGCCTCTGGTTGTCATGACGACGGTAGCCGCGACTGCAGGGAAGAAATGTAGTGCTGTTACAAAGCGTTGTCAATTCAAACTCGAAGGGCATTAATATTGATATCTTTATTGTGTCTAGATTGTGCTCAGAGTATGCTATTGAAATATGCCCCAACCCAAAGGTGAGACAAGCTGCCTTGAAGGCAAAAAAGAATTATTCATTGCTCAAATCTGACGTCCGTAACCACTGTTACCAAGCATAGAGGACATCACTTGGCTCTCAATAATTGTTGAGCGAGCCGTG